AGATTTGCCCAATCGGTCTCCCTCTCAGACTCGCACTCACCAAATAATGAGAACACACTCACTTAACGAAATAGACTAAGAAGTTATGCTCATGCTCTCTATCACGCTTGATATGCATCTTGTTTCCTTTATATAGGCTCCTCCAGTTTGCCTCAGATCTTCACGAATTGATTTGATAGACTTCACCTTGATTCTTGCTGATTTCATGTCTATCTTCAGGATCTTGCCTTATCTCTTGTTATTGACTCTATCTCTTCAGTCTTTGACTTTATCTGAATCTTGTCAGTTGTACCTCAGATTTGCTCGAGTGCAATCTTCGCCGGATTCTTCTCCTGAAATCTCTCATAGGTTGTTGAACCTGCAACAACCTTTTAACAACCAAAACAAACCAAAACAACACGTGCAAATACTTGCACTAACAGAACTCAAATATAAACTATATACGGTCGGGCCAATGAACACCTCTGTTTGTTCTAAAGGTAACTAAACTACAAGCAAGTGATTGATAAGGTGGAGAATAATTGAGATATTATAATGAAGACGATGTTTACGTGATTAGAAGATTCTTGTGTTATCTTTTTTTTTTTTTGTAATTGCTAAGATTCTTTGAATTGGATTATGGATCTGCCAATCAGAGATGATCAAGTGGGTCCTACACCAAGGTGGCAATGAAAATGAATGATGATGGGGGACCATGAGAAGAGCAATTATTGCATCATTAACAATAGAGAGAATAAGAAGCAAAGAAATTTACTAATTTGGAATATCTGTAACATGGAGTGGGGCCAGACACGATGCAACCTTGGAATAAATTCAAAGAGCAATTCAGCATTTGGGTAATAAATATTTCATTTGAAGTTGTTCTCTTTAGCAGATTTTATAACACACACGTATACACGCACATATACATACAAAAGTATAGTTCTTCATCTGTTCATCCTCTAAGAGAAAAATGGCCACACTTTCTCTCAGGTGTTCATAGCTTTTCTGCTCTGCTTTCCACGAGTAAGAAAAAAAAATTGAAAAAATGAAGAAGATGAACAGATGGGCAGATGCGGAGAGATTTGATGCTGACCATATCCATACACTTGCATGTGTTTAGGGGTTTTTTTTCTGGGTCTTAAATCATATCCAGATCTTGATTTGAGTTTAAGATCTCTATGTACGTGTGATTGTCCTGTCGAGTTTCTGCAAGATCTGGGAGTTGAAGACATTATTAACCCCAGAGTCTGTTAAGAGAAAATGTCGGCTTATGCTCATCAGATGGAGCGTGAATTCTCCGGCCTCTCCAGCAGAGGAAATTCAGGTCTCTCTTTAAGTGAGCTTTTGGTGAAATTTCATGGATACCATGAACTGGTCTGAATTGGACCAAACCCAGTTCCCTTTTTTGTGATGATTGTGTGTTTTGGGGTATAGTTCAATCTTGGCTTGAGTTTTATTTTACACCCTGATTTTCAGAACTGGCGGGGAGCCGGTACGAGATAGAATCCGGATTCTACATGACGTCTTTCGCAGCGACGATCTTCTTGGCGTCGCTTCTAGCAGTTGGGGTAGTGATGGTCACTTTGCTTATCGCCTTATCGGCTATGCTTCAGAACTGCCAGACCAGAAGCTCTGGGATCGTGGAGGCTCAGAACCTCATCGAGAGTTTCAGTTACTGCAATGCTTTGTCCCTGCACTCTCATCTCAACGGCTTGAAGGAGTTCCCTCCGATCTGCATAGACATCAGACGAGGAATCCACTTGAAGGAGCTCAACTTCACCGTTCGGATGGCGCTTACTTACTTCCGGAGCCTCACACCTTTGGGTGATGACAGCCTCGACGCCGTTTTGATCGATATTGACGATGTTTTGGATCATCACTTCTACTCCACGCTTGGGTAAGCTATACGCCCTTTTGAATGGTTTGATTCTTGTAACACCGCAATGTCTCACTCGTGGGTTTTTCCGCAGATTAGAGAAAGACGGGTATCAGGAGTATGTTGAAGAAGCAAGGCATCAGCAAGACAAACTTATGCTTGAGATGTACTCTCAGCTGAAATCACAGGGGTATTCGATGCTTCTGTTATCAAGAAAATCCGAGGGAGAGAGGAATCCCACGGTTGAGCAGCTGAATTCCGCAGGATACAGCAAGTGGTCTCGATTGATCATGAGGTATATAACAAAATGAATAAAACCTTTTTTTTTTTTTGCTCAAGAGAATGTAGCAAGAAGAGAGGTTGTAATAAAGCAAATGGACTGTGTATTACTATTGCAGGGAAGATCAAGAAATGCAGGATGGTAAACATGAGCATCTCAGGAGACAAATAGAAGAGATGGAAGAAGGAGGGTACCGGATAAGAGGCGTCATTAGCAGCCATATGGATGTATTGACCTTGTCACGGTTAAGAACACGCCTTTTCAAGCTTCCGAGCATTGAATATTTACCATCTCGATGATTACAATGGAAGGAGCGCTGCAATTCGCTTGGATTATTCGTGCATCTTCTTCTAAGACCGAAGACCGAATGAATGTGTACAAAAGTGATCTTACCGGTTGATGCGATGATATAGCTTTGTAGTTTACAGTTTACACACTTGTAATATTAACAGTTTCAGGATCCACAGAGTCCTACAGATTGTGGGGGCGGAAGAAGTAGAGGGTAATGCTTGTTACTTCTGAATCCCTTTTTTCCTTTTGACACAAAATCTATTTACCAGGGCATGCATGTAGACGTGTATCTTGGTAAAAATACGAACTCGATTGTACATAAATATCTAAGAATGATGTTTCAAACATTTGCTATGGGAACACCTGGAATGGAAATTCATGATGATGTTCCATGAGTATGCTGTTTTCTACTAGGGTCTTGAAACGTTTTTATAATATGGCCCAAAAGCTTGTTACAAATGTAGACATGATAGGGAAAATACAAAGCGGGCTCCATATATCGAATGTATTCATGCAATTTTATCATTAACCTCTGTCAATTTGATTGCTTCATCAATGTAAATATGAAACTTTCCATTTTTCATGTTATCAAAGCTCATAAAACAGTATTTTACGACTGGCAAAAGCTGGATGAAATTTCATTTGTTTTTCATGAAGTTGATGTCACGCAATCGAACAGTTTCTATGGAGAAAAGATTAAAACAAGAAGGAAAAAAAATAGTCAAAGAGGAATGGAAGCATATAATCCAATTCCTAAACCCACACCATAAGTAGTCTAACAAATCCGAATCCCGTCGCCAATTAAAGCAAACCTACCAATTTGACATTTGCAGAAAGATAACAGCGCTGTCACTATATTCAAACAACCACAGAATAAGACCATGGAACAGCGTTAGTGATCAGAGCCATACCTCTCGTTTACATCAGCAGGCGCAAAACCACCACCACCAATAAGAGCCCAATCAGATATGTTCTAAATCTGCTCGTCTTGCAGCCATTAGAGAACTCAAATCTATACTTCTGGGTCATATTCTGATCCAGAATCCCCCAGTTCCGTGTCCCTTGCTGTTCTCTGCCAACTAGCTCAAAGATGTATGCCTCAGCGACACCTTCTTTCCTCAACGGTGTTCCATTTCCTGACCTCAGGTGCTTTATCAATCCCTTCAGGTACATCTCTGCATACAGCACCGTCGCATCAACTTCTCTCGCGTCGGTTCCCGTGCACGGCCACCCCGTCTCCGCCACGATCACAGGGAGGTTCTCATGCCCCATCACAGCCATGGCGCTAATAACCGAATCAATCATTATATCGAAGATGTTACGGTACCTGACTCCGGTGGTCAGGTCGTCTCTGAACAGGAATGGATGCTCCTGAAACAAAGCGAATCCGATTGGAATTTCGAAGTTGGAGCGGTAGAAGTTGTAGGGGTAGATGTTGATGAGGAAAGACGAGTTGGTCATCTCAAGGAACTGGAGGACAGGACTGATGATGAAATCTCCGTTAGGCTGCTGGAACCGAGCAGTCGACGGCGCGGAGGTCGTGGAGATAGTGTTGAAGAAAGAGAAGGTGGTGGAGACCGAAACCTTGTAGATGCTGAGATCACGGAGAGACTGATACACGTTCTGCATCGCTCGGAGGAGGAACTGCGAGATATCCGGCGAATAAGAGATAATATCGTCTCCAACGGAGATCATGGAGATCCTCGAGCGAGGGTGAAAGGGGAGCACATGGCGATAGACCCAACGCATGGCGAGGGAGCGATTGGTTGCGAGCAGTGGAACCAGAGGATTTGGAACGGAGAGAAGGAGGGAGACATTGGTGTAGGCAAAGGAGCGAATCAGAGCAGGATCGGAATCCAGGATCCTGACCGCCGGAATCCTCATGGAGGTGACCTTCGCGGCGATCCTGTCCGGAGAGATGGGGCTGGATCCGGCGGCGGAGGCAGGAGTGGCGTAGGTCACTCCGACGGTGGTGATGGTGGTAATGGCGGCGCCGGTGGTTGAGAGACCAACAACGGTTAACGCCGGTAGGAGGAGGAGGAGGAGAAAAGAGGAGAGAGAGTTCATCTCCGTCGTCTGTTTGAGAGAGAGTGAGAGAGTGAGCAAGAGAGAAACAGAGTACGAAAAGTTGAAAGAGCGTGCAGTGTGAGAATGGGCGGGAGGATTCTGTTACGGTTGAGAGAGATCCAGTGTATTAAGGTGTAGAACCATTACCATGTGTCCCACCTGATCTCACCGTAGATGAGAGCACACGTGTCATAATCTGATTATCAAGAGTTAAAGCCGCCTCGTGGCGTTGAAGGCCCATCGTGGTTGAATTGGGCTTGTAAAACCCTTTGGGCTAATAATGAAATATCCTAATCTCAATAACATCCGCATAGTTTCAGGAACACAGTATATTAAAAAGAGACTAACTATGATTCTACGTATCATAAATTCATCCAATTTTGCAAAGGCCACGATTTTATTGTCAAGATCCATATAGATAAGTGAAAGGTGTTTTCTTTTTCTTTTTTTTGTTACAAGAGAAGGGAAAAATGCATCATTCATCACCGTTAACGTAATCCTCAAGGAAACTAAAACCCTAAATTTTTTAAAAGAACCATTTCAACACAAACGAGACTCTGATATAATGATATTATTAGTAATTCTCTCTTCTTCGTGACTCTTTTTTTTGTATTTGTATCTAAGATTGGATGGGGAGATCCTTGTGGGTGTAAACGACTCCTTTATCTCCATTAACGACTTGTCCATTTCCTCTCATTATCCTGCATCCATTCATCCATCCATCACCACACACACCACTCTTAACAGAAAAGAAAAAAATTGTGTTTAAATTTTTTGACCGTACCATCGTGTTGTCAGTAAGCCTTCGACTCCAACTGGGCCACGGGCATGGATCCTGCTTGTACTTATCCCCACCTATTTCAACATCATTCCAGAAATCCCTCACTCTTTCTTTCTCATCTTTGTTTTAGAAACAATATATATATGATTTAGAAGCCTTTCTCGTATTTTACCTCAGCACCAAGTCCAAATCTAAAACCATCTGAGAACCTTGTGCTTGCGTTGTGGAAAACAGCCGCACTGTCAAACAAGAATGTTCAGTAAGCTCCGACCAATCCATATAGATGGTAACATATATATACCTGTCCACTTGGCGGAGGAATATCTCTGCAACTTCATGATCGTCCGTCACGATGCAATCGGTGTGAGCGCTGCCACAATATATACGACGAATAAAATGTTACAGAGTTAGGACCCCTCTGAACCATGTATGTGAAGAAAATCATTTTTTTTTACCTCCCATGTCGGTGAATATGATCTATAGCTCCATAGACATCTTCTACGGTTTCAACTGTGCATGCCTTAGAACAGTACTCGTGATGGAATGAGCGTGCTTCCGGGATGTTCAGTACAGCACTTGCCCTTGGTCCTCCATACATAATCACACCTGTAAAGTTAAAAGGTATTGCTTACAAGAGCTATTATTACTCCTAACAAGTTTCGATTAAACATGTAGTCAACAGCTAAACCAAAGTATGATGTTATCTGTTTTCGTGGTCTGAACACTCATGCTTCACTTCATGATTAGGAAATTGAACAGTAGTAACTTATGATAGATTTCATATTTATTGCTCCTGTACCATTGGTTTGCAGAAGAAAAACAAGCTCATTCAGCACACCATTCTCCACTAAATCTTTATGCACAAGAAGGGTTTCCTGTTAAAAACATGGCAAAGAGGGAATGAAATGAGATATCTCCGTAATGAACATACCAGCTACTGCATAAATGAACACAACTCAAATGCCTGGAAAGACAAAAGTAGGCCAATTACCATCGCATTACAAGCTGCTGGGTAGTCCAGCTTTGCATCTGAAACAACTCGCTTTGCCATATCCACACGGCATGATTTGTCCACATAAACATGACAGATTCCATCTGGCAAAACAAAACTAGTCATACTCTCTTTAGGCCAACCCAACTGAAGAACTGACTGGAAAATGCTTGACAAACATACCGGCGTGCCCTAGAACAGGTATTTTCGTTGAATTCTTGATCTGAGAAACAAGCTTGTTGCTGCCTCTTGGGATCACAAGATCGATAACGTCATCAAGCTGGGGCAGGGATGCAAATGGTGGGTTCCGGTTTAACTAAAGAGCTAAATAGTTCTGGCAAGTTGGCAACCTGCCACTCATAGATGTATTTACCTTGAGCAAATCAGGAATTTCCTCTCTTGAAGTCACAAGTCCTATGAGTTTACTGCCAACACATCCAGGGATTGCTTCAGTGATCACCTATACATTTTTCAAAGAGTTACATACAACTTACAAGGGCGCAACTGACATAGTCTATGAAGAAAGCCAGAAAGATCAAGCGAGGGCCATCAGAGTCTAGGAAATCTGATAACAAAGTACCTTGTGTAAGATAGCATTTGATCGTCGGGCTTCCTTTCCACCCTTCAGTAAAAGACCATTTCCGCTTCTGATTGCAAGCGAAGCTATCTGTTTGAATCATGCATAGAGCAAAGTATACATCACTTAGAATTCATATTGTATGGGGAGAAAGAAGAATGACTCTGGCATACCTGTACAAGTGCATCAGGTCGGGATTCAAAAACAATCAGAAGAACACCTAAGGGACATGAAGTCTTCTCCAAGACAAGCCCATCTGCAACCTGGCACGAAAGAAAATTTCAAGAACAACAAAAAAATAGATAGTGGTAAAACAGAGGTCTTGCTTTATAGGAGGATATTTCTGGTTATAGTTTGTAAGTCGCTGATATCTGACAGATAATGTTTATACCTCAGTTTTCTTTAGAACACGGCCAATTGGATCTTCCATTTCAGCTAGCTTACGAATTGATGCTGCAAGGCTGGAGACCTGTGAAGAACAAAACAATGGAAACATTAGAAACAAACAGATGTGTGGTCATAAAACTAGCACTAAATCTTTTCCCAAGGCATAGCAGTGAGTTCTGTAGATTAAAAAACATGCAATGACTACTGTCTTGCCTTTCCAGGCTTCAGAACTAAGCGGGCCACCATTGACTCTTCATATCCAGCCTCCTGAGCTGCAGCTACATCTAAATCATTCTCAGCCTTAATTGCAGTCTCATTTGCTTCAAGTGCATCAGCGATACCGAGTAGAGTTTTTTTCCTATCTTCTGAAGATAAGGCCTGTAGCAAATTGCGAACAAGTTTAGCACAACATTTGCAAAGCAAGAAAAGTTTTCTGGAGTTATGAATAAGAAAGAAATCATGTATTAAATAGTTTTAAACAACTAAACAATGAAACTGGAACCCCGTACTACCTGAAGCTTTCTGGAACTTTCCCTTGCAGCAACGGCCATATCACGAGCACCGAAATCAGTGACTGGGCCCCACAAATGAGCATCTTGATGAAACAGAGTACCAACACGCCGTCCTCTGAGGACTTTAGCTATATTCTGAGCTGCATATCCACTTAAAAACCGAAACAAAGGAGAAAGAAATGAATCATTTTCCCATTTTACAATATCTGTTAGTTAAAGCTCAATTGTTTAACATAGAATCTGATATGCAGGGGAATAAGATGATACTAAAAGCAAGCATGAGAAAAGCATTTGATAAAAAAATATAGCTTCAACAGAAATTACATAATTCCGTACCAACAAAATCTACTTTTGAGAGGTTTCAATTTCTTATTGTGATAAATGATTGAGCTTTAGAAATCCACATTTTTCAGTTTTGCAGTGGAAGTGTAACAACTTGTAGAAGCATAGAAGATCTAACAAAACTATGCAGTAAAATTATGCATGTATGAGTATGGAGGCGACTCTTACCTGGTTATAATAACAGGAATGCGCATGCCTTAGAACAGTACTCGTGATGGAATGAGCGTGCTTCCGGGATGTTCAGTACAGCACTTGCCCTTGGTCCTCCATACATAATCACACCTGTAAAGTTAAAAGGTATTGCTTACAAGAGCTATTATTACTCCTAACAAGTTTCGATTAAACATGTAGTCAACAGCTAAACCAAAGTATGATGTTATCTGTTTTCGTGGTCTGAACACTCATGCTTCACTTCATGATTAGGAAATTGAACAGTAGTAACTTATGATAGATTTCATATTTATTGCTCCTGTACCATTGGTTTGCAGAAGAAAAACAAGCTCATTCAGCACCCTGGACTTGTCACCAAATGTAATCTCTCCCTGATGCTTTTCTTTAATGTATGTGTGGATTAACTTTGAATTAGGATCACTTGGGGGGCCTGTGTAAAGACCTTCTACGTCACTCAGAAGAATCAGAAGATCAGCTTTCAGCTCCAGTGCCAGTAGAGCAGCTAAGCTGTCATTATCCCAAAATATACCAGAAGCATCCTGCATAGATTAAACACATAAGAAGTATGCATTAGATTGAAGGATTCAGCAGAACCTGGCAACTGTTCACTCCAAACCTAACCATGTATTTTATAAATCCTTCACATCTCAAAATGTAGAAAAAGTTCGTGCTGAAAAGGATCAGGAAAAAAGGTCAACAAACCTCATAAGGCGCTCTTCGAGTACTGAGTGCATCGTTCTCATTGAAAACTGGAATAACCTTCAGCCGCAGCAATGATTTAACTGTTTCATTAAGCTGCTTCCTGAATTCCTTATCCCTAAAACTGCTATCAGTCACCAAAAGTTGAGCCACTGTCACGTCCAACTGCCCAATAAACGAATGGGAAAAAGCATCAAAAAATGAAAGTTTTGTGCTACAAACTAGTCAAGGAAACATGTAAGAAAAAGGTGGATAGAATTGTTCTTCCAGTAGAGTATCTAAATCACCTGTTCGAACATAGTCTCGTAGTAAGCCATGAGGCTGCTTTGACCAACACCTGCACAAGCCTTCCCATCAAGCTCTACTTGAGGCTTTTGGAGGTCTGCAAAGCTGAAATCCATTGACAAACAAATCATCAGCATGGAACCAATTTTGAAAACACAAAATGAACCATTCACAGTTAATTCCACAGGCCCTGGGAGGAGAATATTCGGATGGCTCCAACAGTAAAAGAGTAAACTTTTGATAATCGGTCGATTACATAAGGTACAAGGTAGTGCCATTAGTAACCTGCTGTTGACTAATTGTCTGTATCGAAGCCTCTGGCGACCGAGACCAACCGCACCAGATGACACCAAAATGACCTCATATCCATCCGCGTTTAATTCCGCAAGCTGGAATTATATTATGAATTAAGGCGGCGACAATATACAGATGCTCATATACCTTTTCAATCCGAGAATGCCTAATGCAGAGCTCGCTGAATGCTTATCAATTCAATGTACATAAACAAATACCTCTTCACAAAGTGCTCCTAATCGTCCAAGCGCCAATCTTCCACCTTTTCCAGTAACGACGGCAGTACCCACCTATAAATATCGCGAAATCATGACATTTATAACCATTAAGGGCTGGGAGATTCTGATTCTCCGTACATCAATGGCCATATATTCAACGATGCGTGAGCTTAAAATGAGGCATGTTTCAGTCCAATTTGGACGGAAAATTCAACTTTAAGAAACTCCTCGTTGAGATCACTCTGGATCTCATAGAAAAATACACTAAAAACATAACATTTCCTTCCACATTTTCCCAGATTTTCTACGCCGCCAAACAGCCGCCTAAGGGAACAATAATTGATGTACGGAAAGACACTGGCCATGGCCATTCATGATGATCATCCAACAACAGTTATAAAAATAACAAAAAACTGAGAAAAATACGAAATCAAAGAAAACAAACTCGATCGATCTAACAAAATCTTATGGTATTGGGATGCTAAGGTGACGAGGGGCGCTTCACAGGAAAACGAACCTTGACGATGATACGCTTAACGTCGTTGACAAAAGCGCGTGAGCGATCCATCTCTTCCATTGTTGCCTATCAAACCAGGAACGAGTCAACTCAGCTCGAGTCAGCCACCTTTACGAGGAGGAGAGAGTAGAGGATATCCGGTGGGAGGGGACGTGGAGAACGGCGAAGGGGGGTTTTAAATACAGCAGAACCCAGAGTCGTATACTGAGTCCAATCACGATTAGCCACGTGGCAAATAAGGGCATAAGTCCAATACGAAATTTAGAACGATGACGTGGCGTGCATCCATTTGGTGGTATAGGGAAAGGGAGTACAGGGCATGAAGCAGGGAATAGATACTCTGATGGGGGGGTATTTTCGGTATCAGAAAAAATAGGCGGCTGAGGAAGGGTCGTGGATCGGTGGACGTGAACGACACAAAGCGAAACAGAAGAGGACGAAAAGGTCAGACAGCCAAGCAGGTTTTAGGTGACGTGTCCAAGGGGAAAAAATCATATGCGGCGCGACCACGTGATCATGGTTTAATTGTGATTTTAGAACTTATTCTAGACAAAATCCTGTGAAAAAAAATATATACATGGTCTGATAACAACTTTAAATTTAAAGTGTCAACTTTTTGTGATATTTGTTACGTGAATAGTTTTTAGATTGATATATGTACATACCATGGCTAGAGCAATTGCAGAAGGCTCAACGTTCAAAAGGACGTCAATTTTTTTTTTTCAATTCTCATTTTTTATATGTCAATTATTTTATTTTGGTTTTTATAAATTATTTTATTTTTAAGAGTTTTAATTTCCAACATAATTAACGTTCATGATTTTTTTGGTTAAATAATATTTATTACTATTTTAGAAAAATTATGATCCTTTTATCTTAATTTTATATATAAATTAGATTTTCACGTTGAGTGATTCTTAGTTTTTCAAGAGGTTATAGATTCGATTCTATTTCTCTGCGAGTCTATCATCTTTTGGTGGTTTATCATGTTTAGTATTATTTACAGACTATTACGCGAAGTCGAGGTGTAGTTGTGATTAAATTTTCACCGTTATAAAAAAAAATTGTATATAATTTCAAAAATAAATTAAAAATATCTATATAATCTTTTAAATTTTATTTTTCAAAAAATCATTTTTCCTTCTATATTCAATATCCAAATAATAATCTTCTTTTTTTAATAGATAAGTATCACCATTAAATAATGTGCTAAATATTTATTTCTATTTTTATATGTTTCCTTACACTACTTTCATATTGAATTTTGTTTCTAAGATATATATTTTAGATTTAAAATTTATTAAAAAAAGATATATCTACTCTATTTAAAATAACTTAATTATTTTGATTTAAAGATTCTACCTAATCAATTTTTATAAATAGGTGCCATTCGATACAGTTAAATAAAAAACTTTTTTGTCATTAAATGTTTAATCAAGACAAATAATTTGACTAAAGTTATGAATGTAAATGCGAATAAAAATGTCCAAATACTTTTTATTAGAGACGAATGGATATTGCAGGATCAGCATTTCGGATTTCGATTCGATTCGGTAGTCAAATGATTCGGTTCAGAAATGATATTTTTTTATTTTATAAAAATTATATTAAAATAGAATCGAATGTTAAATATATTGATTCGGTACAGTTTTAGTATTGGATCAGTTCAAAATGATATCGATATATGAATATCAAATAAGTATTAAACCATAATATTTATATATATATATTGTCGGATTCGGTTCTGTATGTGTACGATTCCATTCGAGAATGGTTTATTCAGTTTTATAAAACAAAATATTCCAAATTAAAACCAAACGTTAAATACAATTGGAATGATTTAATAGTTGGTAAAATAAAATATTTTTTTAAAAAAAAAGAAATAGGGAGTAGGAGGGGGCACGTGGTTTGATGATGCATGCATGTGCCCTCGTTGGCTTTCGTCCGATCATCAGTCTAATTCGATTATTACCTTTTTCTTTTATTGAATTTTGTTTCTGGTCAAAAGCTATCATTTATATTTATATATATATATATATATATATATATATATATATTGAATGGTCGAAATATATCATATGAAATAATCAACATACGTAAAAAAGTATCGATAATAGTCTGAAGCCTAAAAATTATATATCTTTTTTGAATATTCGAATATAAGGATCGATTAAGCATTGAGTCAGTATAATTCTCATAACTGTTTGCTCTCTTTTTCATTCACAGTTTTAACGTTATCTAATTAGTGATTACAATAGAATGGTAATCAAGTTAGATAAAATTTATAAAATAAAAATGAATTATATGATTTTAAATGCATGGGGGTAAGATTTGAGAACGGACAAGCATGAGAAAAAAGCAACCTACGTGTGTAAGAACGTTACAAAATTTAGGAACGTGTCCCCCCCCCCCCCCCCCATGTATCATTAATTAGAGTTTCATTTTGTTATGAAAGTTCAATTCTCTTAACTTACGAAATTATAGTATTTGTTGAGAGAATGCCATGCACGTACATACGCCATCAAATTTGGACAACTTTTTTGTTACGGCAATAGTGTTTGATCATTGTAAATATAATATGAACATAACCAACGTGCGGGTCTTATAACAATACGTAATTTGAGACTTTTGTAATGTTTTATACGACACCGTATTCCAAATGCGGAGGTTTTTCACTGTTACAGATTTTTTTTCCCTCTTACGGCAGCAAAATTGAGAGAATCACACGCAAAGGACCAACCAATCATATCAAAACATATGTATCCGATTATCTTTTTCTTAAAAAAAATAATAAAATTGGATAAAGCATGTGTGTCTTCTTCGTAAACATGCAAAGAAATTTACCAATATCTTCATCAATGGTTGGGCTCTTTCAGGATCAGTCGTTAGACATTCCATTAATTGCAATTATTTAAAGTATAGATTAAGAGTTGAAGTTCTTTCTTACTTTGTTAAAAGAAATATTAAAAGTTCTGGGTTTGCATAATTTGATTTCATGACCTTGGTCTATTTATAATCTTTTTATTTTGTTAAAAAAAAAAGATTAAAAGATTGGGTTTGCGTAATTTTATTTTATGATTTTGGTCTATTTCTAAATTTTTCTCTGTAAAATTTTATTTGATAAACTATTTTGACTCAAGTTACGTACAGTTGAAGTTAGTTAATTGGTGTGTTTTACACTATAGGCAAATATCAATCGTATATTATATTTATCGGTTATCGACTGTTAGATAAGTACAATATTTTTATTTTTTTGGTGGTTATAAGATGAACACGATGGAGTGCCATGTTGCATGAGAGATCACATTTTTTTTTTCGCACGGCACCATATAATAGATATGTATTAATTCAAATGGATCGGACTTCATTAACCATTTTAAGTTATGTATAAAAATTAAATGAGGTCACGAGTGTTCCTTTTGAATTTTGTAAAAGTCGGAATGCTGTTGCTGTCACGTTCGTGAACTATATATATCCACGCAATTTTTTGCTATCATTTGTTTGCTTTTCTTTAATCTAGATTTTCTGTTTGTTTGTTTTTTTACGAAATTGAATTTTATCTGAATTTATAGAATATTAAAAATTTTAATTTAATGATGCAAAAAAAAAAAAGTTTCCAAGGAGTAAGCGTAAGCAAAAGACCGTGCATGCATGTGGTTTCTGTTGTAGCCAAAAAAAAAATGTTGGCTTCTTTGTATTACTGGTTTTGTCAACTTTGTCTGCCAAATCAGACAAGCAAACAAAAAGTTGCCATCCCTTTCGATCTTAATTTCTTAGGATTCATGACCCTTTTTTTTGGTGATTAGTCGCCGATGAATCGTAAAATAGAATTGGGTTTTTTTTGTTATATAGTATGATTTTTTATACTTAAAAATCGATAATATCAAAATTATCTATTAGAAGAATTGATGGAAAATAACAAGGACGGTGCGCAAAATTATTTAAACAGTATTATAGAATGTATTATAGAATGTAAGTAGGGTGTCAATCGGATCAGTGTGAATCCAAACTCAGTCCGAAGGTTTCAGACTCGAATCGATTCGATTTTTTTCAGACCTATGATCATTTGCGTGACGAGTCTTAAATTTGTAATCCGAAACACAACTAATCCGCAAGTATACGGATGTCGTAGTACCGGAGTCGAACACAAGGACTTAAGCGGTTAAGTTAGGAATCGACTAAAACTAGGAAAATTATGAAAATAAAATTGATGATTGTTTTTGTGGTTTTGAAAGTTGCAGAAAATTTAAAAAGAGAGACTAAAATCAAAGACAATCACGATTCAAGAGAGGATAATCAAATGGCCAAGGGTTATGGGTTTTTGGGTTCACCAACACGCATGATGTGCTAAATATTTAGTATCTATTTCATACTTCCTTTGAAATTGGGGATTCCAAGATAAAGATCGGGATTTGCTCTCTCGAGCTAAATACCCGCTACCTAAGAGGACATTCCATCTACTTTCGTAACTTGGAATGGAATCTTGAATGCATTGAACTCTCTTATCAAAATCCTAGGTTGGATTGAACCGAATTTCTTCGCTTTCAATGGCAACCCTATTGAATGAATGCATCAAGGAGTCAAGGTGTCATGTCTCCATGGAAACCAAGACTCTAAAATCAACTCAAGGGATTTTCATCCCAAGAGAGCATTAAAATCCATTCATCAATCCAAAGCATTCCCTCTCATTCAATGGCAATCCATCTACTCATGAATCCTAATTAAGTCTCCAAAGAGATTCAATCAAAGAGGGATATAGAAAATAAGCATAGAAATCACTCATTGAATGAAATGAAAGTCTAATCAAAACATAAACATAGATTCATCAAGTGGGTTCACACATCCTCACATGAGGATTCACCCTCAACCCATAACTATCTAACTGTTCACAACTCATGTTCAAAAGCAAAGCAAAACAAGGATAAAGTGCAGAAATAATAGAGAGATAGAGTAGAGAGATGCTCAAGAAGTCTTCAATCTTCAATGGAGTCTCCTCCTTAGGGGTGGGCATTCGGTTCGGGTATTTCGGTTATTAATCGAACCGACCGATATATACCCGAACCGAACCGAACCGAATAAAATTAAATAATCGTTTGGTTAAGATTTTTTTAAACCCGAAATAACCGAAACCGAACCGAACCGATTAAAAATT